TAAATGAATCCAGCACTTTTCAAACAAATTAAATGTACTGTTTTTACTGGGCATCTCTTTCACCACTACTTTGAGGCTTGGTATGCCAACCATAGACCAAATAATTTTTATAGCCTCATTCTTTGATTGCAAAGAGCCTTTTAGGCCAAGAAAGCGATTGAGGAAAGGCCATGGATGTTCCACTGCCGTCAAATCAAGGAACTTCAGGGCCTTCTCTGAAGTACACTGTTTTTGTATTGTCTTAGCGGACAAGCATAACTGCTTGACATTGATGATTTTTTTTCTTTTTTTTTTTTTTGTGAGAGACAGGAGTAAAGATAGTAATGAGATGCAGTAGCATCCTACTTCAAAGACATGGGAATCTCTGTGGTTCCAATGTTTTTGTGGTGATTTGTTTGGGGTTTTTTGTTAAGCTGTTTATGGACAGGAAAAAAAAAACAGTATGTGGCTCAGACCCCAGGCTGTTTTGAGGGTGGTTTTTTTTTGGTTTTTGCGGTGTGTGTTTGTGGGTTTGGTTTGTTTTTTTTTTTCCTTCTGTCTTTTTTTTTTTCCCATGGTCTCTGGATGAAGCAATACAAGGGAGAATCGAGCAGGGAAATCTCTGAGCAGTGTGTTTTCTGACGCAGACTGTATTTCTCTAGAGTCTCTGAGAGTTTTTGATTTTTTTCATGACCTATAGGCAGAAGACTGTGTATGTACTTAAACCATTTCCAAAATTGTCAATTTTCAAGAGTTTTTCTAGGGTTTTTTTGAACCACAATGAGGGAGCATGTAAAAGTGTGGCATCAATCATGTGAACGTCTCAAGCTGTCCTGCATGGACTGTGCTTGAAGTGAAGTTGTGGAGGTTTGTGTCCTGAGGACAAGCATTATAGAGTGATTGTAGCATTCTGAAAAATGGTATGTGAGAGTAGATTTTGTTACTTCTTCCTTGTGGTTCTTCACGTTCTTGCAGCTGTTTTCAGGAACGTTTAAAGATCTTTCTCACTAGGTATTGCAACAGACAGTTATTACACTTTATTTGCATTCCTGATTGCTTGTTGGGTTTATCTTTTCTAGCTGGTGGAAGCAGACTTCCTTTTCTTGTAGTCCATGATATTTCCTTATCTGTTCTTGAAAACAGTCCTGAAAAGTCTGGACTTCTGAAATCCAGCTTTAGCTTTAGTAGTGGTGTCTTTTGCAACTTTGTAGGTCATTTCAGATATATTGTAAGAATCTTGAAGTGGATAAGAGGCAGGAAAGTAGCAAAGCTGCATGAGTGTTTATAAAATTTTGCTTCATAAATTAAAAACAATTTTAAAAATTGTTCAGAGGTTCAGAGGAAAATGCTGAGCTACTTTGTCCTGAGTATATCTTAAAAGGATTTACTGTGAAGATGTGCAGCTGTGGAAGTCCCCAGGCTTCTCTGGACTTCTGTGAGGAGGTTTCCTGTTTGTTCAGCTGGAATTTGGTGCAGCTTTCACTGATGGCCGTTCACTTCTTCAGGTGGCAATTGAAGAAGAGAGATGGTAAACTAATGTATTGGTTTGTTAGCCATTAATGAGATCCTCTCTGGTCTTGGAGTAGTATTTGCATGAAAAGCAGTACTGCACCTCTGGAGCCTATTTTAGGACTATTTTTGTTTTCAGTTTGTTTTTTATGCAAGTAAAAAAGTTGTGGGTGGAAGAGTGAGTAGAATGAGGGTTTATTTTGTGATTAGCTGTATTTATTGAATTAGTCAAATGTTAAATAATGAGCTCTGGACTTGCTATATGGCTGACTACATGTGGCCGGCCCTTTGAGGAGCAAGGCACCATTTTCCTCTTAGCAGAACTGACATTGTGCCTATTAAGCTACGAGCCTCCTCAGTAGACAGAAAGCACTCAGAGGCATCGTACGCTTTTATGATACAAAGAATGGGCCAAGTGCTACTGAAACCAGTTACATCATTCTCTTCAAAAGTGTGAGAACTTGTTACACCACAGGCATACCAAGCCCTACCTGAGCTCCAAAAGGAGGGCATGAGTAGCACAAAATGATCACCTAAGTTCACGTGTGCTGCAAAGCTTAACCTTCCCCAGCCCCAATAACTCACACGTATTGGTCTGTATTCATTGCTCCTTTCTCCTTCAAATATTTTCTCCTTCAGGGAAAAATAACAGCTACCTGGCAGTGCAAAGTACTCTATGGCCTAACATTGCTGCTTCTGTTTGTGGAAGGGGCTGGAGGAAAAACTGCTGCATCTGTTGGTATGAAGATGCATTAAACATCCCAGCTTCTGCTTGCCTTGTGTCACTTCTGTGGAGATGGAAGACTTTAAACATGAGCTGACTTCTGCAAAATAGCAGGAGTTTGGCTGCACGGCGTGTTTGAAGTGGTGCGGTTCTTAATGCACATTTTCAAACCACACAGTAACGTAGGTTCAAGGTAAACGATAACTGAAAATTTGCAATAAACTGCAAGTTGCCAGAAACAAAAATGTGGGGTTGAGAAAATATCTTTTTCCTTCTTTTGAATTAAAACACAGGTACAGATGAGTCTTGGTTTTCAGGCTTCTATGGTACTATCATTCAAACAGTCTAAGTTGTCCAGAGTTGCAGAATATGTGAGAAAGGATAAGGAAATGGTTACCAGCTACTGTTTTGTTAAATTTTTAATAGTGAAAGTAAAGAGCAAACTGTAGGTATATATTCTGTTATATGCACCTGCCAGCTTCTCAAATTTCATTTTGCCGCAAGTGTTAAGCAGTCTTTTTGAAGAATGGAAGTGGAATAAAACAACAGGATTGAATATTTAATAATTCAGGCTGTGTAGAACACGTGGACGGATTGACCTTGGTTTTCTTCTTTCACTTTGGTACAAAGCTGTGAGTGTAGTAATGAAACTTTACACAGCAAAAGAAGGGGAAAAAAAAAAAAGAAAAATAAAAGTTCTTTATATTGTTATGACTTGTCAGTCTGATTCTTCTTCGTTTTGAATAGGATGATTCTTTCACAGGATTCGGTAGAACTTGACTTTGTTCTGGATTTTTTTTTTTCCTTTTTTAAGAGAGCTGCATAAAATCAGACAGACCACTTTGAAGCTCCAGCACTGGCAGGAATGTTCGAGTTTTTGCTCCCAGTGTACAGGCA